ACTAGTCCCCGTTCCACTGCAGGTTCAACCCGCCCTTCCCACACCATGAGTCTGGACTCTGGGACAAAGCACCATATGCTACCTCCCTCCTTTTCATTGAAGTCTCTCTCCCTGTGGACTTTTAATTCCCACTTTAGATCTTTCCTGGGTCCCACGGACCCACTTCCCTCCTCCTCACACCACAACATTCCAGTGTCAGGACACCACATCTCAGAGAGGCCCTTTCTCTGCTGCTCAACCACTCCACCATCTAACTCCACCATTCAAAACTTTTAACAGTTCTGAATTGGGAACTTTGTAAATATTTTTACATATTGTGTTACTTGTTGCTTCCTTCTCTCTTGGTTATAGAGGTCCACTGCCTATGAACCAAATCATAAGGAACAACTTCCCTAGGCCATTATGGAACATGGTGCTCTGGGAGTCTCCTCTCAAAGTGAAGTCCTTACAAAATCTTGCAATTTTGAGACTACAAAGGGTGGAGTCCTTGTGATGTCCGCAGACCATCTTTTCTATTTTCCTGCTCCTTCTCAGCAATCCAGATCTTTGCTCTATCTCTGCAGTCCAAAGCTTTACTGGAACTTCCTTTCTGGCCACACTGAAAACATTTTAAATCATTCTGCTGGTCTCTTTGCTTTTGACTCTCAATATAAATCTGGCTAAAAGCTTCCAATGGTAGCCATGCCATCGCCTCAACATTAGACTGCCATAAAGTTTTTCTGCCAGATTAGTCTACCACCTTTAATCTCAGTCTCTGGCAAAGTCTCTGGACACACACAAAATGCAGACAAACTCTCTGCCAACCCATACACACATCATCTGAAGTCCAGCAGCCATCGCATTCTTTCTAGCAGAAACCTCCTGAGCTTGGTCTTTACCAGCAGAATTTCTATAAACATTCTGTTTTCTGAGCTCTGACCAGGATCTCTCATCAGGTACAATCTCAGGTGTACCAGCTCTACTTTTTCAGCCGGCATCTCTGAACCTTTCCAAACTCTTTTCATATGCCAGTCCCAAAGGTTTCTGAACCACATGATCAGGCAGAGTTACAGTAACCTCACTTCTCTGGTACCAAATTTTGTGTTAGTTATTTTTGTCATCACTGAGACAAAATGCCCCATACCCAAAGCTAAAGGAAAAAAGGTTTATTCAGTTCAGTTTGTAGGGGTTCATAAACAGCTAGCTCCAAGGCAGGGTGGTATTGCAAAGGAGAAACAGTTCATGGCAAATAGAAGGAAGCAAAGCAACAAGGGATGACTACAGCTCTTTCTATCCTTTGTCTCTTATCCAGGCTGCTTAGGGAGGATACCACTCATACCCTTTATCCTAGCATTGCAGCATGAATCAATTCCAACGTCACACACTCTAGATCCAGTCAGCTCTGAAAAAGCCCCACATAAGGCTTTGGGGAGACATCTAAACACAAGCCATATAAACACTTAGAAAGGAAAGTTAATCAGTAATTAAAAAAACAAGTCCTAAAAACCCATGCAAAAGAAAACAAATGGTTCTAACTGTATACTGACAGTAGCAAATTTACAAAAATAATTATTTCTAGTAGCTTTAAAACTCAGTAACTTGGACTGGGGATTTAGCCCAGTGGTTCTGCTGCCTGTCTTGCAAGAGCAAGGACCTGAGTTTGATCCCCAGTACCAAAAAAAAAAAAGATAAATTTAAGTGCTGGGGATTTAGCTCAGTGGTTCGGTGGCCTGCCTTGCAAGTGCAGGGACCCAAGTTTGATCCCGGTACCGAAAAAAAAAAAACAAAAAACAAAAAACTCAGTAACTTGCCAAGTATGGTAGTGTACACCTGTAATCCCAACTACTTGGGAGAGGGAGGCAAGAGGATCACAGTTTGATACCAGTATGGTCAACTTACCTCGGTTTCAAAATAAAAGCTCAGTCAAAGAGTGCTTGCCTAGCTTGCATGAGCCTGGATTCA